AAAACTAGTAACTAGCCATTTTTGAGAGGTAAACTGAATATGGCATGAAATATTTACCGCATTTTACTTGTATTAACAGGTCATTGTCGAAGCGTAGGTTACGCACGGTTATCGTGTTCTACGCATTCACAACATGTTTACAGCGATCGATATCCACGCTGTATCATATAAAAACGATTACCAAGATTCGTTACGCAAGACCAAGTTTTAAATTAGTTGCATTTTGAAGGGGTGGGCGCTTTGCCGAATGTGACCCCAAATATAAAAATTGCTCAAAAGTGGGGGGTGGGCGCTTGCCCGGGCATGGGCGCTAACGCGGTCGAGTACGGTATTCAATATTTGGGTATAACAATACTATATAAGAGAAGAGTTTTCAAATATTAAGTGAATTGAGAATCATCTCTTTGAACATTCATCTTTTGGTTACTCTTTGGTATTGCAGTAGTATGATCATCAGGAGTTACTACAAAATAAGTAGACCAATTATAATAATACTACTGGATTCTGCCGTTAAACGGCAGTTTGGGCAATTTTTTGGCAGTTTTTTAAGGTGTTTTTTTAATATTTTAACGACATTTTTCGAACATTTCAAACTTTCCTGACGCCAACAATTTAAGTTTTATTGTAGTCAAGAGTATGATGCTCATTGTTACTAGTGTGAATGGGTAAGCTTCGTTTCAAAATGAGCCATAATCACCGTACGATAATATTACCTTCATCTGTGTTATCTTGTTGAACATTCATCTTTTGGTTACTTTTTGGTGTTGCAGTAGTATAATCATCAGACGTCACTACAAAATAAGTAGACTTATTATAATAATACTATACAAGGGAGGTATTTTAAATATTGAGTGAAATGAACGAAAATAAGATAATATTACCTTCATCTGTGTCATCTCTTTGAACATTCATCTTTTGGTTACTTTTTAGTGTTGCAGTAGTATGATCATCAGAAGTCACTACAAAATAAGTAGACTTATTATAATAATACTATACAAGGGAGGTATTTTAAATATTGGGTAAAATGAGCGAGTAAGATAATATTACCTTCAGCTAAGTCATCTTTTTGCATATTCATCTTTTTGTTACTTTTTAGTGTTGCTTCATTTTTGCCAATGTTGTATATAGCATAGTTGCTGCAAAATAAATAGACTTTATATAATAATACTATATAAAAGAGATATTTCAAATATTCGGTGAAATGAGTAAGATAGCTGTACCTTCATCTGTGTCATCGTTTTTTGGCATTTATCTTTAAAGTGTTATTTCACAAGGCAGGCTTTTTTAGCTATCAGTAACAGTGGTCATCAACCAAGGCAGGCTTTTTAAGCTGTCATGAATGAATTTTGCCATCAGAAACAGCGGTCTTTCAACCAAGGCAGACTTTTTAAGCTGTCATGAATGAATTTTGCCATCAGAAACAGCGGTCTTTCAACCAAGGCAGACTTTTTATGCTATCATGAATGAATTTTACTATCAGAAACAGCGGTCTTTCAACCAAGGCAGACTTTTTATGCTGGCATGAATGAATTTTACTATCAGAAACAGCGGTCTTTCAACCAAGGCAGACTTTTTATGCTGGCATGAATGAATTTTGTTATCAGAAAAAGTGGTCTTTCAACCAGGGCAGAGTTTTTATGCTGTGATGAATGAATTTTACTATCAGAAACAGCGGTCTTTCAACCAAGGCAGACTTTTTATGCTGGCATGAATGAATTTTACTATCAGAAACAGCGGTCTTTCAACCAAGGCAGACTTTTTATGCTGGCATGAATGAATTTTACTATCAGAAACAGCGGTCTTTCAACCAAGGCAGACTTTTTATGCTGGCATGAATGAATTTTGTTATCAGAAAAAGTGGTCTTTCAACCAGGGCAGAGATTTTATGCTGTGATGAATGAATTTTACTATCAGAAACAGCGGTCTTTCAACCAAGGCAGACTTTTTATGCTGTGGTGAATGAATTTTACTATCAGAAACAGTGGTCTTTCAACCAAGGCAGACTTTTTATGCTATCATGAATGAATTTTACTATCAGAAACAGCGGTCTTTCAACCAAGGCAGAGTTTTTATGCTGTGATGAATGAATTTTACTATCAGAAACAGCAGTTTGCCAACCAAGGCAGACTTTTTATGCTGTCATGAATGAATTTTCGTATCAGAAACAGTTGACTGTCAACCAAGGCAGGCGTTTAAGCTGTCATGAATGAATTTTGCTATCCGAGACAGTGGACTGTCAACCAAGGCATGCATTTTAAACTGTCATGAATGAATTTTGCTATCAGAAACAGTGGTCTTTCAACCAAGGCAGGCTTTTTAAGCTGCCATGAATGAATTTTGCTATCACAAACATTGGTTTGATCATGACATAGAATATGATTGAAATCAAACTGGCCGTCTTAGAGACACTGTTCCGAGCTGTATTTTACAACTTTTAATCAAATAACCGTCTATTCAACAAATTTGATCAAATTACAAAACAAGACTACCTATGGTATAGTACTTGTGCAAACTTTCAACTAATTCACGCATTATATTAGTGAGGAATTAGCATGGACATGAATAAAAACAAAATGGCCATCAATCAGGTATTTGCATCCACTGATAAAGGTAAGTTTTATAGTATCTAAGTTTTGGAATCATCAAGCCTAGTTAAAGCATGGCTCTGCAATCTGAAGGATTGCACCAGTGTGCATGGCCCGCCCACTTGGTACACAGCTGTTATCATTTCAACTGAAGGTGTTAATTCTGTCAGCTAACATTGTGCATTATTCTGTTATCTGATTTGACAGGACCCATTGAATAGCGCTTTTTAATGCTCGTGGGGCCCATGCAATATTTTGAAAGCAGTTTGCATGGAGCTCCTTATTTAGTTCTGTGCTTGTACAAAACAGCGCATCGTCATAAATAATTGTGGTTTATTTGAATGACCTACACAATATAGTTATCGCACAGTACAGCAATTGCCATAATGTGTCTCGTCGGCTAGGCAATAATCACATAATGTAGAGGTATGTACGTATGGGGGTCTAAAAACTAACTCTGCTATCCGATTGTGCGACTCTTCGAATGTCGATAATTGCAATCTGTGAAAAGATCGCAGTGTCACTCTGGGAAGAGCACGATTCCCATTGGTTGGTTAGTCGAAAAAGTACAAATCCCAATGGTTGATCGATGTAAGGGTACACCGCATGCCTTATAGAAATGTTCAGTTTTAAATGCTCGCTAACTACAGTAAACAAGTATTTACCGACGACATGCCACACTGTTCGATAATCGGCAAGCATTTAACATTTATTTATTAACATGTATAACATCCCCTGGAGGAAATAAAATGGTTACAAAACACATTTACGTTGGTGTTGGCTGCCTTATTACGGTGTGACATCAGGAAGCTGGTAACATTAACGCCATCTAGAAGTTGTAAGGCTTCGTCCGCAACTATTAGGGTTGTACAAACCTGTTTGTTTACCTAATCTTACTTACCAGAAAGTCCGCTGAAATAATAAATTTCATTTATTACTCGTAGGATTAACTATAGATTACAGCACCAATCGGAAACTATTAGGGAATATACCCCGTTAACAAAGAACACTTTAGGGTAGTATTCCCTATAGAAAAAAAGGCCTCTCCTAAGGGGTCACCCTCAGGGTGCTCACGCTAGCGAGGCCCAATCGGATTAATCTCACAAATGTTTCCACTGCATCAACGGGCCGCCGGAAGCTTATGGGGAGGTGGGCGGATTCCACGGACTTTCTGGTAGGTATGATTAGGTAAACAAACGGGTTAGTACAACCCTAATAGTTTACTACATCAGCTACCGAAAAGTCCATGGAATTAATACATTTCATTTATTATATATACAATATACCAGAGAATAGACAAGCTGAGATCCACCAGGTATTGACCAATTTTGAAAATCTGGACAATCTCAATTCCAGCATTAATAAAGAGATTTCTATGTCTGAAATTAAGACAATTCTGAAGAAGCTAAAAACAGGGAAATCACCTGGTTATGATGGCATACCAGCTGAAATGCTTAAATTCAGTAGTCCACATATTATTGCAGCCCTTCATAAATTATACAACCATGTAATGGAGAAAGGAGAATACCCCGAAATATGGAACATTAATGCCATTACACCAGTTCACAAAAAAGATGATTCACTAAATCCAAATAACTACCGTGGGATATCAACTAACAGCGCAATAGGAAAAATCTTCAGCATGATTCTAAATGACAGAATAAACCAGTATCTACATGATAATGATATTATTCACAAGAACCAAGCTGGTTTCAGGAAAAAACATAGGACAACAGACCATATCTTAACACTGCATACCATGGTCAAAAAATACCAATCACTTTATTGCTCTTTCATTGACCTGAAAAAATGTTTTGATACAGTTTGGAGATCAGGACTACTGTATAAATTGCAAGCCAACTGCATTAATGGCCGTCTCTATAACATCATCAAAAGTATGTACAATAACATTAAATTCTATGTTAAACTAGATGACAAGATGACACCAGCATTACAGACTTATAACGGAGTAAAGCAAGGCTGTCCACTTAGTCCTACTCTCTTTAGTTCATTTATTAATGACTTAGTTGAACTATTAGACAGTACAGCCATTGATCAACCAGTACTAGATGGACTAACAATATCCAGCCTCCTCTTTGCTGATGATATAGTTATCACTTCAACATCTAAAGAGGGACTCCAGTCTTCCCTTAATCATCTACATGACTATACTAATAGGTGGGGATTGAAAGTAAATACAGACAAATCCAAATCCAAAGTCATGATCTTCACAAAATATGGCCACAGATCTGATAACATTGCTCTTAAATACGGTGACACAATTCTTGAAAAAACCAATCAATTCACATACTTGGGCATT